AAATGTTTTGAGAATGATGAGGGCAATGAATGTACAAATGTGCTTTACACAATTGATGTACGTATGGATTGTGATCAGAGTTGTATGATCCCCTAATAAACGATTAAAATAAAAACCCAAAAAAGAAAAGACATGCAATGTTCAGATTCTCAGTAATGTTTGCATTTCTCAAATCTTTATTTTAGAAAAATATATGAAATTGTGGGCTGAATTTAAGGCTGCAACTAAGGTGAGTTTTAAAATAAAATATTATCTCCATAAGTATCAAAATTGTTAAGAGAGAGAAGATTAGGGTTGGGGGTGGCTGAGAGCATTGGTGTGTCTACCACACATTAAAATACATGTGTACAAAGCTTTGTACTTCTGGAAACTGTCTTCCTCCTGTTGCAACACTTCAGCTAAAGTAAGCATGTCAACTTCCCCCTCAATGTTCAATGGGAGCACATTATGTTTTAAGACATAACTGCCAATTCTGAACTCCATTTTCATCCAAGTTCTATCAGTCAGGAAAGCCACTGCCATGCCTTTAGAGTTAGGTTGACTGGGATTAAAGTCCCATCTCTGCCACTTTATAAACACTTACCGATCGGTTGATATGGAATATGGAAGAATTTAGCAATGCCTTTTTTTTTCCAGAGGAAACTACTGAGGTTCACAGAGTTAAGTAAGTTGCTGAAGCCCCAAACGGTTGAGGAACTTATATAGATATGACTCAGATCCAGTCCCATTCCAAAGTGATTTCTCTCCAGCTATAAACCAGGCTGACCCACCTCTGGAGTTCCAGGCTGCTCTGAGTGAGCTGGCCACCACCCTCACCTGCCCAGTGGGCTTTTGAGTTCTGTGCGCGTTCCATGAAATCTGTTCATTGGATAATCCTTTGCTTGAGTTTTTCCTAGAACATTAGGATTTTGCTGTGTGTACACACCCATTTTGCAGCCCTGGTGGTGCTGCTGGGTAGGCATTGGACTGCTTACTGCAAATTGGCAATGTAGACACATCAATTGCTCCAGGAAGGGGCTGGGGAGGAGAAGGGAAGGGGGAGATGAAGCTGTCTACTTCTTTAAAGAGGAACAGCCTCAGAAACCCGATACAGGATCTCTGTGAGTTGGAATTAGTCCGGTAGCAATGAGTTGATACCAATATGGCATATATAATATTCTTGTTTTGAACATGAGCTGTTACTAAGTCACAATGATTTCAGTTTGTTACAATATATACTCATAAGCCCAAATTGTCTCCCCCCACCCCCAGGTGTTTGTGGATAGTGGTAAACAGATGATGCAAGAAATAAACGATCTAATAGAAAAGCTGTCTGAGAGAGACGAAAAAATTGAACGAATTGGTAGTTGGCTGCAAGGGAATCTTAACAAGCTGAGTGGACTGAGAGAATGGAAGTCATCTGAGGAACTAGGTAAAGAACTTCTCAGAACCCTTGGTAACATAAAACCTCCTCTATCGTACAGGAGCTGGTGACCCCAGGAGAAAAGGATAGAAAGGCCACTAAATAGTGTACAAATCTATCTACATAACATCTAAAATATGCATCTGAGCCCTGAACTCATTCACAGGGTTGACTGTTGTGGGTGGCCTGTTCCTTCCACACAGGTAACTGGGTTTTCATGGTAGCTACATTTTAACTTTTTTATGAGTGTGTTGTCTTTTTTTTTTTTTGCTTCTCATTTTAAACGTTTTCCAGGTAAATGTTTTTAAAACTCTCCTACACATGGTTTTCCTCTTTGTCACGGACTCTCTACCAAGTATAATGTTCTTCCTCTTCCGACAACATGCCCAAAGTACGTGAGATGATGTGTCACCATCCTCACTCCAAGAAGCATTCTGGTTGTACTTCTTCCAAAGCAGAAGGGATTATTCGTATGGTAGTTCATGGTAGACTCAATATTCACTACCACCATAATTCAAGGCATCAATTATCCTTGGATCTTCCTTATTTTATCCAGCATTCATTGGCTCCCTGAAATCTACCACCACCCTAGTGGAGAGACTAGTAAACATGAGCATTTGGGATTATTCGACTTTCTTTGAGCCACCTGCCATCTCCTAGTGTTTGAAGTTCCCCATTGAATAAATTCACCATGGAAGGACTTTTCTCTATGCAGTAAAAGAAGCCTTCCCGTGCTTTGACTGCCCTCTTCTGGGACAAAGGGGTCACTGCATCCCCTGTAGGCCCCGACAATGATTTTTGCAGTCGCTTCAGGAACATGGAGCACTTCTGTGCCTTGCACAGGACAGATGCTGGATAAGATCCAGTCCCTGAACCTCGAAGTGCACACACTGAGAAACAGACAAGTGACATTCCTCACATGGTGGATTCCTTCTAATAAGCAAACGTTTGTGATTACGAGAGGCTAAAGTCTAAGTGGGTGTTGGGAATACACAAAGATAGAGCTGGGCAGAAGCTTCACGTTGCCTGCCTGAGAGTCCGATGTGCTGAGCGCACACCACCTTGCCAGAGTGTGAAACAGACATGACAGAACATGAAAACAAAGATGACTACTTCTTAACCATTTCCCCAACATACAAGTAACATTTCTTTTTTTGTTTTTTGTTTTTAAATCGTTTTATTAGGGGCTCATACAACTCATCACAATCCATACATACATCAATTGTGTGAAGCACATTTGTACATTCATTGCCCTCATCCTTCTCAAAACATTTGCTCTCCACTTAAACCCCTGGCATTGGGTCCTCATTTTTCCCCTCCCTGCCCGCTCCCCCCTCCCTCATGAACCCTTGATAATTTATAAATTATTATTTTGTCATATCTTGCCTTGTCCGACATCTCCCTTCACCCACTTTTCTGTTGTCCGTCCCCCAGGGAGGAGGTTATATGTAGATCCTTGCAATCAGTCCCCCCTTTCCAAGTAACATTTCATGCATTTTAATAATTCAGTCCCATCAACACAATTGATCTCAGGACATTTTCTCTTCCTTTTACTTCTTGTTAGTTCCCCATTTCCCACCAACTTCCCCTGCTGTGTCCTTTTAAAACTATTAATCCAATTGCTGTCTCTATAGTTTTAGCTATCCTGGGTTTCACATATGGAAAAACATGTACGATAAAAAAACACACAAACCAATGGCTCAATGATGACGACAGAATGAAACATAGAAAACTTTGTTTTAGAAAACTGTTTAAATAGAAAACAAAGAAGAAAATATTTTAAAACTGGAATAATTACACACGGGATAGAGAGATCAGTGACTAGGTGTCACATTTTGACGTAACTGGGGCTGCAGTCACCCCCCTGCAATGTACTGTCTGAGAATGCGGCCTTTCCCATCACTGGTCCACAGGCTGAGAGGATTCGCCTGTGGCTTAATCTGCGTGGAGTACCATTCCAATAGGTTTGGGGCGTTCACTGTCATTCAGAATTTAAGCTCTTGGTTTGGATTTTATCATTTACAATTCTTGGAATATAGAGACTAGTGTGCTTTTTCTGTGTGGACCTAGCTGATGCCTCACTTAGATGGCTGGTTGTTTTAAGACAAGCCTGTAAGATCCCAGATACTATTCTTTCTGATAGCTGGGTACCATCTGATTTCTTCACCACGCTACATGCAATAGCACCCACATCTTCAGTCATCACTTCATGGGGGCAGGTATTGAGCAAGGCAATGGAAGATGGTTATGTGGGACCTTATTTTCTTTCTTGAAAGCAATGCATTAATTATTTGTGTGTACCTACACCATATAGCAATCTAACACAGATTTAAGTATTAAAAGGAATTTCGTTTTGAAATTTCAAGTCTTTGATATTATGCCATACAATTATAATTTATGTATTAACTGAATCGAATCCCTTTACTTGATATGGAGTCTACAGATTTTTTATTTTTTTAAACCCCTCTGTGATAAGTGGGTGAAGGTTTATAGAGATTATTATCTCTACCGTGAATGATCCATCCATACTTAGTTTCATCTCATTCATTGCAACCTCCTTGATGTGGCATCCCTTATTCTATTTCCTCCTGGGGCTCATTTCCACTCCTGCTTTCTTCTTAACCCTCCTGAACTTTGCCTTTGAGTCAGTGATGCACTTTTGATCCAAGGACTGACTGTTCTTAATTGCACTTCACTGGTATTAGTGTTCTGATTATGGATGATGTGTTGTTTGGCTGAAAATTAAGCCGTGGGGATGAGTTCATTTCCAGACCTGAATGGTGACTGAAGGCCACAGTTTCCACTAGCCTCTATCTGACCAATAAGCCTGGTCCCTTTCATGGTTTATAGTTCCACTGTTTGCCTCCCACGCTATCCATGACCTACTATTGTAATCCCTTTCAGAGCAGTTGGTAGTGGTAGCCGAGCACCATCTAGTTCTTCTGGTCTCAGGGTCGTAGAAACTGATGTTTGTCATCCTGCTCCATTGGATTGTTTCTATGTCTCTTCAATTTCCACCATTCTTCTTTTCTCCAGACAGGGAGAGACCCATAGTGGCCACTTAGCCACTTTCACAGCCCTGCTTGTGATTCACCAAAGTGGATGTAGAACATTGTCTTTGTGGATAATTGGCTTTGATGTCCTTCAAAACCGTTCCTGAGACCAGACCCAGGGACTCATTCCTTCAAGATGTTTGGTTGTGTTCAAGAAATTTTCATAGCTTTGCCTCTTGTACATGAAAATCTCTTCTTGACTTTTTACAATAGTGATTTCATACAGGATTTGTCTTTTTTGCAATGACTGATTCCACTCAACAAGAAGCCCCGATGTTGTAGTGGTTACACATTTGGCTGCTAACCACAAGGTTAGCAGTTTGAAACCACCAGCTGCTCTGTGGGACAAAGATGAGGCTTTCTACTTCTGTAAGGAGTTACTCCCGGAAACGCAGAGGAGCAGTTCAACTCTGTCCTTAGGCTCTCAATGAGTCAAGATTGACTCGACAGCAGCGAGTTACAACACCTGCAGGTTCATCCATGTGATGAGGTGTTTCCCAGAGTCAGTGTTAGTCCTGGTGGATAGACAGCATCCCACAGTGGGTCTGTACCAGTCTCCCCATTTTCTTTTTTGCTATTGTGAATAGTGCTTTGAACATGGATGTGCATTTGTCTACGTGTTCCATTCGTCTGTGGCCCTATTTCTTGAGGGCATGTACTAAGTGGAGGGACTGCTGAATCCCAAACCTTTGAGGAGTACCACACTGCCTCCCACAGTGATTGTACGTTTTACAGCCCACCAACCAGGTGAGGGTTCCAATTTCAGAAGCTCATGTAGATCCAGGGAACTATTAAACTTAAGGACAGATAATAATTTCCTTTGTTATAGCTTGGTTATTGTGATTGGAAAGGACTTGATACAACTATTCATATTTAATTCTGGGGTGAAAAACAACCAACCAACCAAAGTCTGAGTCACACAACTGAAGTGAGAAGGCCTCCTGGTGGAGTGATTAAGTGCTTGGCTACTGGCCAAAAGGGTGGCAGTTCAGCCCCACTAACTGCTCTGCTGGAAAACATGTGTCCAGTCTCCTTCCATAAAGACTACAGCTTTGGAGAGCCTACTTGGCCGTTCTCCTGTGCCTATAAGGTTGCCAACTCAGGGTCAACTCCATGGCAGTGTTTTGTTTTTATATAATTAAAGCAGAATGAAAAGTTTTTTAAAAGGATTGGCCCAGACATGAAATTATCTCCTGGAACAATTAAGAGCTGAACTTGGAAGAGTTTAGAACAGTAGTTCTCAATCATGGCTGCTCATTAGAATCACCTGGAGGTTTTTCACTCACCAGGGCTCAGAATGGATCCCTATCAGGAACATAAAAAAATCTCTCGATGTGTCCCAGGCATACTTGCAAAACTCCCCAAAGGTGGCCCCCAAGTGCAAGTAAATCTGCAAACCAATGGCTTTAGATAAACATGTGACAATACAGCTGCCAAATTTATCATTTGACTCAAAGAATACAATGTCTTGACTTTCAAATGACCTCGCCAGCACTGGCCAGCAAAAATAACTATTACAAAATAGCAGTGATAACTGAAAATGCTAGGAAGACTTAAGTCACAATTTAACAAAGCTGCCCTGAGAAGCTTGTTACTGTGTTTTAGTGACCACATGTTTTGTATTCTATAATGAACAACTGCAGTTGTTATGAATTGTTCTCGTCTTAGAAAGCAAATTAAAAATGCTGCTATGCATTTAGTCCTGAAATTCTTTGCTTCTAAGGGTTTGTAATCCCAATTATTTGCACATTTTCTCTTTTTGCATATATATTTTTCTGCTAGATGAAGATATCAGAAGATAATTGTTAAGACGATTCCCAATGAATATTTGGGCCAAAAGATGAGTCCTGGTAATCAGACACGTCCTCTTAGTTTTCCTCCTCAAATTATACGACTGTCTAATTAACGATTCTCTAGGCAACACAGAATTTTAACAGGCACTACTAACTACCTAAA